TCTTGGAAACCAAGTCCAGTGGATATTTTTTGAATTTTTACGGAATGACTATGACCTGGATGACTGAGAACCTTCAGCACATAATTTCAGTACAGTACAGTAGTTGCAAAGGACTGCTGTGGTGTGGTTTTGGTAACATATATATGCTCTGCATATCTTTAGTGTATTTGGTTAGTTAGATGCACCCTAATTGGGATGAATGTACCATATGTACTTTTTCAGTAACTAAAATGGTGTAACTTTTAGACTATTGCAGACATTGTGCAATGATGATAAAAAGAAGAGTCAGGAGAATTGGGTTCAATAGTCATTGCAATGTTCACCAAAATAATTGAAATCACACATCTTTTTGACATCGTTCAGACCTGTTGTTCTTGTATCTTCTTATGTCATAGTTCCTGAGAAGGAATCCAAATGGCTATCAGTGTAGGACAAAGCTTTATTAAAAAAAAAAACAGGTAATGGAAATAGAACTGATAATTTATATCTGTAGATTTCCTCTGCAAAGAACAGAATTTTAATCACACACATTGCTACTAAAGGTACCCTTACTAGGCTCCCTCTAAATTTTACAACATAGTTTTACCTGCAGGTTCTCCACCAAGTGTTAATTTGTGAAATTTCAAATGACACTCTGAACAGTAAAACCCACCCCTTAAAGTCTTTCTTTCCATTGAATCCACTTCTACTGCATCTTTCATGGCTGTGTGGTGTTTACGAGCCCCTCAGAAGTGGCTTCTAATGAGAATGTGTATGGGTTGCTGTACAACATTCCCTGCAGCCACCTCCTCTATTAGCTATTCCAGTCTTCACAGGGAGCTGGTGAGGAGGTTTATACCAGCCCCAGCTGGGAAAAGTAATTCCTGGAGTACTACTCATTCTTCCAGCAAGCCTCTCCATTTTTATTCCGTGTGCACACAAACAGAGGAAATTCTATGTTGGAGGTCCCAAAACCCTGACCATTGTTAAATTAGGAATTATCTCATAGTTAGGACACAATAAACATACAAAAAGCAATGAAGTAAGAGAGTGGAAAAACTCAATGTGTAGATTCAAACTCTTATATTTGTCTTGGCCTTTTGAGTCTGAAATGCTTTACATTTGTTGAGGTTTTTATGTGTTTATTAGCTTTGAGTCCATAAAAAATCATTCATAATCAGGCTACAGCTATGGCGGCTGCGCTTGGCCTAATTACTGTGCCATATGTATGTGTTTGGGGTTCTTTTGGCTTTAGGAACTTAAATGGGTCTATAATTGGCACACAGAAAAACATTGCTCTCAAATATCTGTTTTGATCCATGCTGGCTGTCACACTCTGAAAGAAACAAATTACATGGGGAGAACAAACATGGGCAGCTATTGTCAACAGGGTACAAGGAGACACCATGTAATTTTGAGTCCTGTGGGGAAGAAAATGGCTTTCCTGTCACCTCTTTCACCGACCGTGAAAGAGGTGACAGGAGCTGATTATTGACAGATTGTGTCTGATTAATTGGCAGGTAATTCCCTGATAATAGAGACATTCCAGTCACTTGCACCAGAATGGGGGTATTTTAAAGCAGGCGCTATTGAGAGCTTAACTCAACGAGCTGCTTTTCTTCCCCTAAACAAATCGAGACGCCCCCAGTAATTAAAGAATTATGCACAAGAACATCGAGGTTATCTTCTGGAGGGCATTAGTGGATAACTTAGTCATCTGGTGCTCAAGATGGGATATATTGAAGCTTTCTTCAACTATTAAAGATCTGCAAGCGAGTGGAAACATGTTAGAACAACAGAGCAATGAGCCCCCACCAGTGTTAGTTGGCAGTCCATCTTCTGGAACACAGAGCTCATAGCTGGCTCCATGTGAGGTCACTTTGGACTCCCAGCATTTACCCGTTGCTCTCCTCTGTTTCCTCCTCTCTACCCTTCCACCCCCTTATCGGGGTGCTGGAGCCTCAGAGAGGAGGAGGAGGGGTCACAGGGTCAAAGTCTTTTCCTCTTTGGATCTTAGGGCTTGCTGGGAGAGACTTGGCGAGAGAATGGCTGCATTAGAGCTGGGGTTGGGGGTCAAGATTTTAATTCTGTTAAAGAACAGCTGGTTTGAGTTTCTCCTCACGTCGCTCTTCCCTCCCTCTCTCCACAAATCCAGGGAGATGAAAAATTTGTTCAGAGGGGAACCAGTAAAATAAAGGTTTACGGTCCAAAGCCCTTACCCTTACCCTGCTCGAGCATTAGAGAGGAATGCAATAACGTCAGCGTTTGGCCTCGCTTAGACTGACCTAAAACAAGGAAGTCCTTTTTGTGTTTGGCTGTCTTAACAACCGGATGAAACTTAATTAAAAAGCTAAAAAAAAATTAAATGGATTTTTCATACTTTAAACCAGGAAAAATGATTTTGCCCAGGTATCGATTTCCATGAGAAATTGTTATTTCTCGCATAATCTTAAACAGGTGAAACTGACATGTTTGGCCGTTAATTTCCCTTTTCAAAGCCTGCACTTTTTCCAGATAAATTTGGAAAGAAACTCCATTACTGTAATATCCAGTTTTCTGTTTGCTAATCACAGCTTCTTCTAGCTGAATCAAATTTGGAACTTGATACCTGAAAAATGTTAAACCTTCACCTCTTAACAGTTCTGTTGCTCAACCTCCCATTCTGTTCTGTTGCTTTAAGCACAAATGAATAGTTCAGGTACACTTGAGTAATTTCTGCTTCACGTGAAATGTGTTGATTTGAATGTCAAGGCGAGATTACTTCACATTTCGATGATGATGATATGGAGAGGGGGAAAGCATGGGATAGGCACTAAAGCACTCCTATAAATGGAAAACTAATAAGTTTTTTCTCCTGCCTGCTCCATCCTGTGCTTCTTAGCCGGCCGGTCGGCCGGCTGGCTGGCTCACTAGCCCTGGGGCAGTGTTGGTGTGTGGCGCAGCAGCAATCAGAGGTCATAATTTCATTGGCGGTTAGCATCAGGTTCAATTTTTCTAGTAGGTTACATTTACCAGAAAGTCTGGATTGTGTTACTGTGTAACGGTGGAATCAGTGCAGAGCTGTAGGATCCCTCTACCTTCCCAAGACAAGCCAGGCAACCGCAAAGGGGAACTATAGCTGGCATATTTTCAGAAATATACAGACAGACGCAGGTTAAAGTAATCTCTTGCCTATTAGTGCTAAAGTAGTCAGTTATATTCCCCCAAACCCCTAAACTAGATAAACAAAGCTTCTTCTTCTGTAACATGTGGTAGATGTGTGTTTCTATGTGGTTAAAACAGATGTGGAAATAAAAACTTTACTTTCCTGTTTTTAAACCACTCTCACTAAATCATTTAATTTAGATTGGTGTCAGTCTGACTTCGAAAACACTTAAAATTACATAATATAGATTTTCCTAATGAATTAAAATTGAAGCATCATACAAGCCTTGTTATTAAATTCATCATTTCGAAATCTAGATTTTGGAAATAAAATCCATATTTTATGGAAAGAAAAAACATTTTAAACTTCCATATTTACCCCTTGCATAGCAATGTATTTGTAGCAGGCTCAGATCTTTTGTTTTATTTTTATTTAGGTGGTATTTTATTCTGTTCATCAGATTTTTTGGTCAAGGTGGGGCCGATGCCCATGTCCAGCATTCTATGGGCAAGAGGCAGGATAAAGGTCACCAGTCTGTCGCAGATAAAGTTTGATTTGAAAAACTATAAAATAGTTTTTAGCAAAATGGCAATTTTTCCATCATCCAGAAGTTCTCTAATGCAAGCCTCTTATGCAAGCTCTGAGGATAAAAGATAAATTAATAAAGAAATAAAGAAAATAGGGATAACAAATTTTTGGTTGTCACAAAATTGTGTCTTTCAAACTAAAAAACATATCAATAATTTTTTAGTGCATCAAACCTTCCCATCTAAGTCTCATTGAAACTGTTCTATTAAACTAAAACCTGCAGCAGCAAAAACTGAGCAAACAATATCAAAGTGCACAAGGACTTCACTTAAGAGTTTATACAATGCTTAAAAATGAAAACAAAAAAAAGGAAAAAATGTTTTTATTAGTCTTATAATCGAACATAATTGTGTTTTGTGTTTCAGGAATGTGACCAGGTACATATTGATGATGTGTCCTCAGACGATAATGGCCAGGATCTAAGGTTTCAAACATCACTTCAAATCTCTCATAAGTGGTTAAAAAGAAAACACTCATTAATGTAGCAGCTTGAGCTAACAGATCCTATCTCTGTCTTTATTTTAGTACATATAACTTCAGCGCTGATGGTTTCCACGCAGCAGCTACGAGTGCCAACCTTTGCCTGGCCACAGGCGTGCGGGGAGGCGTGGACTGGATGAGAAAACTCGCCTTCCGCTACAGACGAGTAAAAGAAATCTACACCACCTACAAAAATAATGTTGGAGGTAATCCCCAACAAGCAGTGCCCCGTGCTTAGTTCTGCTGGCTAGAAATGATTTTGTACATATGTGTGCGAGTGTGTGCCCTCTCTGTGTGGGCGTTTAAGTAAGTGCATGTGTATGTTTTTACTTTTTTTGGGGGGGGGGCATTTTGAAATTTTCAGTGGTAGTCAGATGACTGGTCCAACGCAAACATTGTTACCCTGTGTTTCAGGTCTGCTGGGCCCTGCCAAAAGGGAAGCCTGGTTGCAATTGCGAGCAGAAATTGAAGCCTTGACGGACTCCTGGTTAACACTGGCACTGAAAGCACTAACATTAATCCACTCAAGGTAGGACTCCTGAGAGGGAATATAGTACCCATGTCCACACTGCATATCTATAGATCTGTATGTGGTGTAAATAAGCTGTGGGTTTTAAGCTATCAAAAGAATCTCTTGTGTGGATTCTCCTTTGTATGGCCTGCCTGCTCTAATTTTGACAAATAAGTGTGCTAAAAGATCTGAGCTGAAAAATGAGCCAATCCTTCAATGTAAGACATGTTTTGGGGACTTGATACATTGCTGTGTCATTTATACAGAAGATTGTGTTTTCTTTTCTCCTCCCTCAGAGATATTTGAAATGATGTCACCACCTAACTTTCCTCCTTAGGTCAAACTGTGTGAATATCCTGGTGACCACCACGCAGCTCATCCCAGCCCTGGCGAAGGTCCTGCTTTACGGCTTGGGAGTTGTCTTCCCTATAGAGAATATTTATAGTGCAACAAAAATAGGTAACTGTGATTTCCCATCCTGCTTTTTTAGACTGTAAGCATAAGTATTGTAGAAACGCATTTCTTCCTTAGTGACAAGACTGAAGCTGGGGGGATGGGGTGGATCTTTTGTCACCGGAGAGGGTTGATGTTCCTCATTGAGGGAATTGTTCTAATCAACGTGGGATTATTTTCTTGGAGCAGGACCTGTGCTGGGCCTCTGCTACTCTCCTCTGCATATGAAACCACTTCTATGCATTTATGTCATTCTAGAGAAACAGAAGCCCCTCTCCTGCTCCTCCTTCTTCTCCCCCACCCCCCGCCAACAGTTTTGCCTCCCAATTATGCCCTTTTTACTATTTTCAAAGCAAAATAAATGACAGGCCTCCTCCCTTTTACCAATAAATATACTGATTTCCATTCTTCACATTGTCATTTGATATTTTTAACCCTTCATAAATGTATTGAATACCCTCATACCCAACCATTGAATATCAATATATTTCCCTTTGCAGTTAAGAAATGTATTTATTTTATGGGGAGTGGCGGCCTAGTGGTTAGGACATTGCTCTTGGAATCCAGAGGTTCAGAGTTCAAGCCCCACTCCCACAAACTGCCACTCTGGGTCCCTGAGCAAAGACTCTTAACCCCACACTGCTCCCCAGGCACCACACATTGGCAGCCCACTGCTCCCAAAGGGGATGGGTTAAATGCAGAGAGTTCATTTCATTGCTCTGTACTGGTGACAGTGTAATGACAATAAAAGCTGTAAAAAACAGTATTATTTGAAAAATATTGTGTTACACTAACTATATTTACTTGGGTTCTGTTTTTCTCATTTTCAACAAGTAGAGAGCATGCCAGCTAAGACCATTGCAGCCATGTTGTTAAGCTTTAGCCTTCTGCTTCTGGTTGATGTCATACACATCACTGCATTTCACTTGTTCTAAACATTTCTGTATCGAGGTTAATGCATCCATTGGCTTCTGGCAAGATATATTTTAGGGAATTTGGGAATTCACAAATCTCCCAACAATTCATCTTGCTTCCAAGGTAATGCATGACCACTCAGGTGGGGATGAATTGATGCACGGTTGGTTCAGAATGTATCCTGTTAGACCCAAAACAGTTTAGTAAAATATGCACAAAAACCTTAAGAAGCCTAATGGTGAAAGGGTGAAATGACCATCACCTTAGGGATTTTAGGAGCAGACTTGATGGGTTATTACACAAGAAAAAAAAATTAACTTGTTTTTAAATCTTGGAAAAACAAAGACAGTCGTTATTACAGCTTAGACTATCACTCCTAAGGTAATGCCCTTTTATTACTACAGTTTTTATGAGGAGCATCCTCTTAACAATTATTTGGTTTTTATTTAGATTCATCTTCCTATAGTCAAAAGTAACAAAAGTCAAAGTTTAAAAAAAGGAATAAGAGCTTATGAACACTGGTCTACACCCAAGACAAAAAATGCTATACAGTATATATAATTTTAACCCAAGTCGTGAAATGATAATTATCAAGTAGATTATAATGTCATCTTTACATGAAACTGAAGAATAAACAAACACAATAGAACACTACAAATCCATAAATACAGCATAGTATTTTGTCCAATAAGCACATGGAGACTGGTCTCATATTTCTATAACAGAAGAATAAATGTGTTAGACTATTTTTTGCTGTAGAAGGAACATCTCTTGCTTTTGTGTTTAAGATTAAAGTAGTTCTGTCATATATGTATATATTATTTTCATGTAAGAGCCTCACTATGTTCAGGACCAATGCAAACTCAAAAGTGGTTTTGAGTTTGTTCCCTCATAGCAATGATGTAACTTGAATTCATTTAGGATGGTCTCTATCTAAAGGCTGATCTTATCACACCCTTCCTGAGCTCAATGTTTACACTCTTCCCCCTTTTTGGTGTTTTTAAAGGGGCTCTTGTCACACCGTGCCTTTAAATCAACTGAGGACTCAGTGGTCATTGTAGGAGTGTGTTTCTGTTTGCATCCATGCAATGCTTGACTAACATCCTGACTTTCTTCACAGGGAAGGAAAGCTGCTTTGAGAGAGTAATTCAAAGATTCGGGAGGAAAGTTGTTTACATTGTTATCGGAGACGGTGTGGAAGAAGAACAAGGCTCAAAAAAGGTAAAGGGGCACCAAACAACTTATTTCATTCTACTTTCTGTTCCATAATGTCAGAGCGCTGTTATAAGTACTCAGGGAACACAAAAAACATACCTGTCATACCACTCCAAAGAAAGTAATTAGCACTCAAGTTCTCCTCCACAATCTCATCTGTTTATCCTCTTATTAAGCGTCCAAGTACAAGAAAGAAAGTTGGTAGGCTGTAATCAGCGCTCTTCCTCCACCATCTCAGGTTTACAGAGCAGAGGAGGAGGGAGATGGTATAATTATATATTCCTGCTCGCTGCTCAGTGCAGTGTGAATGCTCCATGTGTAACGCTAGACAAGACCTTTCAGGCATGTTGAAGGCACATCGTAAATAGAACGCAAATAAAGGAACTTAAATCATTGTTGATGAAATTAGAATATTTAGTGCAATGACAGGCCTGTTAGCACGAGATGATTCTGGCTCCAAGCCACCCAGGAAACCACATTTTCTCTACAGATGAGGCATTGTTAAATGTTACCACCAGACTTCTGTTCGCTCTCTTGTGTTTACAGCATTTCTATTAGGTTTTTCATGTAAACCAAAATGCTATTCACTCATTAGAAACTTTAGAGCATACTTTCCTAACAGTTACTGCAGGCCTCTGTGACAGGCTGATGACTCGGCTTCTCTTTGAAACATCTTAAACTTTTTTTCCCCCTCACTTGTGTGTCTGTAAACACTCAGTAGAAGCAAAAGGGTAGACGGAGAGTGATTAGGCAGTGATTACAGAAGAGCCAGCAACTTTTTACCCTGAGTTAGAGTGTAAAGCAATAGCTCTGTATTATGAAAAGTGAACAGACTCTAGGAATAAAGTCTTGAGGGATGATTGTTGGAGTAGATGCAAATGTTGTTGCTCTGTCTTGGAGTTTTTGGAGTTTGACACTGATGGAAGGATTAGGTGTTTTTCTTCCCATCCGAGTGGTGCGAGTCCAGTGAGACGCCACAGAGTAAAAGGTTTCTGTGTCAACATTGGAGAGGACGTGGAATAACACAACAATTTCACCCGTCAGAAAGCACATATCAGACGTGACACATCGTGGAACTACAAAAGCAAACGTTTGAAAGTCCTCATTCCCTCACCCTAAAAAAAAAAAATCCCTGAAACAATTCTGTCTTCGGTTATTATCATCGCCTGGGAGAAAAAAAGGCTGAGATAACATCTCCAGCTTTTAAACTTAAAAGCAAAGACAATTTACAAAACAAAAAGCAAAGAGCTTTTTAAGGGTCAGTGCAGGCTCTCCTAAGCGGAACATACGCCTGGGAGAGGCTATACTCCTTTGATAAGGGGAGGGTAATGGGCTCCACACACCGAAGAGCTGAGGACTCTACCTGACAAGCTCCTTTCATTCTCTGCGACTCAGGTTTCGCTTCCATCCTTTGCTCAGGAACAACAGCTCATTTGCACTGTCCTAAAAACACACTAGCAAGCAGGAAGCTCAGTGAAAAGACACCATGGGGAGTTCACTTCTGTTATGCCTGAAAAAAAGCTGTGGCCTGGTTTCAGGCTATAAAAGAATTCCGTTTGTAGAAGTTTCAGAAAACTAAAATTTAAGATATGTTGTTGCTTAGATTGATTACTGGTTTTCCTGGAGAGGAAATCATTATAGTTTATTTTCTGCCTTAAGTAGAAATAATGAAATCTACCGGTACATGAAATTAGAAATTATTGAGTGATGTTCTTTGTAGTGCTTGCAAAAATATTCACATCCCCAGTTTTTTTGTTTTTATTGTAATGCTGCAACCCTAAACTTTTGAAGTTTTTAAGATTCCAGTGGATACATTTGCAAAGTAGCTCATCATTTTCTGATGCCAGGCAAAATACTTTAGCTCCTGGCTTTTCAGAGAACTGTTATTCGAAATTTACTTTCCAACTAAAAAAAATTCTAAATTCTGACAGATTACATATCTGCATTAAATGTTTCTACACAGTTAGAGAAATGACTTCAATAAAAAATAATGAAACACAAATCTGATAACCATATTTAATCTTTTACGACCCTTAAAGAACACATTGCAATACTTACTATATTGTGTGCATTTATTCTTTTTTAATATATAAACTGTTGTTCTTTATGATTTGTCCCTTGTGCAATTTATGTTGCTATAATATATCTTACATTGGGAAGCTAAAAGGTTCTGTTATTTCTGTAAAAATCTGAGATTAACTCCAAATGTGATGTTTTTTTGTTTGTTTTGTTTTTTGTTGATCTGCAGCACAACATGCCTTTCTGGAGGATCTCCAGCCATTCGGACCTCATGGCCCTCCACCATGCTCTGGACCTGGAGTACTTGTAGCACTGCACCACAGTACGCCCCTCTCTACGCATCAGGACATAGATCCAACCGCCTTTCACCATTGCTCTCGGCCCCCATCTCATGCTTGCTGTGGCCTCCAGACTACAGAAAGAGGGAAAAGCCCCTCCATCCCACCCCCTTCCTCCTTTGCATGCTGCATCTATCTTTTGCTACAATGAAAGGAAAAAGAAGAGGACAGTGGGGGAAAAAAGAAGCACACGGTTAATGTGCTGACATATAGTCACACATTGTCTTAACCCTGAAACTTTTTTGTGCCTTTTTTTTTCTCTTCTGCAACACAAAGAACGGGAGAGAGGTGAATTTACAGTGCAGCAGCTGCTCGCCCTGGTTACTGTGAATCGGCTGCTTTCTAAAGCTGTTAAAGTGTTTTACTGCCCCTCCACACCTTCCCGTTTGTGCCGGGGCTCCATCAGGTTTCACACCTTGGAAGAGAACAGAGCTACTGACGGACTCGCCTTCCTTGCTGCAGAACTCTGCTTCAGCCGCTGGCTAAGATTTCTGCTGCTTTCTCCTCTGCATCCTCTGCGTTTTACCACTTTTTGACTTCCACGTCTCCCTTCTCTGTAAATGGACAGACAGGCTTATAGTGATTTTTATCAGCCTCAACGGGGGAGTCCTGTGCTTCTTATTTATGAAGAGACTTTGCGAGTGGCCCAAGCGCCACTGAGAAGGTACCTCGATGACAAAGACTTGTGCCTTTTACAAACAAACAAACAACGAGGGAAAAAAAAGACATTTATGGAAGAATTACAAAAAAAAATAAAATAAAGGAAAATGGGGTTTTCTAATAATTTAAGAAAATTAACAAAAACCTTACATCGCTGAGACAATCGTGTACAGAGGAAATCTTTTTTTTTTTTTTTTTTCGGTGTGTAAGTTTGTAATCACTGGACTATTCCTTCCTATAATCATTTAGGTAAATGCTCTTGAAAGGTGGCTTTGCTTTTTAATTGAAGTAAAACTTTGAAGACATTCATTTGCCCACAAGCTTGTGGAGAAAACCTGAACATGTTGGACACATTCAAGTTGAGTTTTATTAAAAGAAAAAAAAAAAATCTTGTAGATAATGGGATCGATTGTTTATCAAGACCAAAAGCATGAATATCAAAGTGTCAAGGAGCTTTCTTTTGATTCTGGGATGTTTCTCTCCTACTATATGTCCCATATTTAAAAAGTAAAAGCTCTCCATCTGTGTCCTTATGGCATCTCACCAGCTTGCAACCCTTATCCTGACACATTAAAAGACAAAATTAAATCTGATGAGGGTTTAGAGAACGGCAGTAAAAGGCAGTTTCCTGTCTCCTGAGGGGCATTTTAACTGCATTTTGAATGAATCTGATATTTAAAGAAGCAAGCTTGAATAGGTTTTATTATCTTTTATACAAGCACTATAAAAAACTCTTGTACAGCGAGCGTTATTTTGTATGATGTAATGTTTTTATTTCGACTTTGACTTCGATGGGGTAATCATAATTAACAGTGAAAGAGAAGCCACTAATTTTAAGGGGTTGGGGAACTTACAGGACATGTGCTATCAACTGTGAATTTCTTAAATGGAAACTGACTTGTTGAGTTTCTAATTTTTCCCTCCTTTGCACATGTTCACTCTTGGCCTTCACATTTAACTTCAGATCCTTCTCTGCTTGAACAGAGTCCCCCTTTGTGTTGAAACAACTTCCCCACACACACACACACATAATCTGGGGTATCTACATACTGCTGCTAGATCAAGGTAAAGGTAGGTTAATAGAGGAAAATGTTTTATAGATTCATACAGCACGCTTTTTTATTACGTTGCAATCGTAAATGCAAACTGGAAATAATTTACACTTCATGGGCCTCATTGTGAAAACGCAAAAGATTGTTGTGTCTGCAAAAAAAAAAAAATGTGTACAGATGTTTTTGACATTATTATTTGATTGTGTTTAAATTAATAAAACTGATTTGTGAGCTGTTGCATGTTGTCACATTTTTTTTTATACCAAAGCATTATTTTTCTATCATTTTCAAATATCCACTAATGTGGTTCGAATAAGTTAACTAATTTATTTAGACCCAGAATTCACACAGTAATGCTTGTGGGAAGCAAACATCGCATAAACCACCAACCCACACTCAGTGCACCCAGGATTTTTAAGAGAAAATGCCATGTTGGACAGACCTGACGGCAGTGGATTGTGCTGCTATAACAATAAAATTTAATTATGTTGAGAGCAAAATACTTTTGCAGTGCAGATTATCAAACATGGAAATACTATTTATGGAAGTGGTTTCCACACAAGACTAATTGGAAGTACCATTACATTTTGTGATCTGGATAAAAACAATTTGTATTAGAAGAAAAATAGACGGACAAGCTAGATTTTTCATAGAACCATATCAGCATTGCTCTGTGCAAAGGCCCTCTGCAGAGCAAGGTGCGTTTGTTTACTGAGGAATTTCATAAGGAATAATTTAGAAGACGCCTTCTAGAGAAGAAGGTCCAGAATCAGGACGAATCTCTACACAAAATGCTGTCAAAAAGTTTGTCTATCTCAGTTCTACCTCTATTCTTAAAAAAAAACATGTATAGGTAAGTTATGGATTCAAAAGAAACTGAATCATTCACAAAAAATATTTTTTTTTTACGGGATTTAGCACTTAATTTTAACTTTATGATAAGATATTTTCTCAAAAATGTTTTTAAATTTTCTTAAAAATAAAAATAAACATGAAATTAGGAAAGTGATATCTACTGTAAAGCTATACCTTTAGTTTTTGTTTTGTTTTTTATCCAAGCTGCAGTTGAGTTGGAACCGGACAGCTTACAGTAAGCGCTGCAAATGACTATTTTGTAATGTTATGATTCTCTCTTAAAATTGGACCTATGTTTGTATTAGTTATCAGCAAAATCTGAATAAAATTATACCTTAAAGAGAAATATTGGTATTTCAGTGGAATTAGGGGCAATGCATCAGCATGGGCTTAGCTTAGCCCTCCTTCCAGGGATTTTAAGGAGTTGGTATTGAAATACATTTGGACCCCAATAAGACTCTGGTATTTAAACGTTTGAATAGGATTCAAACTGTTCAAAACATGTCAATCATGTTAAAAGGTAAAATAGATATGAATCCAACCTTAAACGATAAGATGTTCAGGCAAAATACTCCTGCAGTTTCCTTAAAAGCATTAAACTATCACCCAAAAGCTATGTTTGAGCAGAGAATATAAAATGTGGTACACACAGAAGTCATAAAAGTTGTAACAACAATTTGAGGATTTTTGCCACATAATCACTACTTTTTGCTCCACGTTGGTCAAGTGACACCACCTCCCCGCTCAGTGCCTGCGCCATATTTGTTCTATTTCCCCCCCAAATCAAATCCCATGATGCTTTGCGTGGAGAGCTCTTGCAAAGAATTCTGGGATATATCTCCTTGTCTAGTGACCATGGTTGGTTCAAGGTGCATTGAGGAAATTTTGAGTTCACTACTTTTCCATCCACTAGATGTCCGGACACCAATATAAAATGGTGTAAGGGTAGGGCGATCAGACATAGCCTTTGTGTCTGAGTGAACTCCTCCTACTAGTCTCGTAGACTTTGTAATGTAAATGGCCAATACTTATATAGCACTTTTTTTAAGTCAGGAGACTCAACCAAAGCTGTTTACACTACACTCAGTCATTCACCCATTCACACAAACACACATACCCACACAGATGGTGGCAAGCTACATTGTAGCCACAGCTGCCCTGGGGCTCAGTGACAAAGGTGAGGCTGTCGTACATCATCAATAGGAAATGCAGGTGAAGTGTCTTGACCAAGGACACAATGGACCTTAAAGCCAGAGCCAAGGCTTTAACAACCAACCTTCTGGTTGCAGGACAAACTCTTTAATCTGATGTGAGTGTTGCCATGTCTAAAGGTGTTGGAAATCAAAACTTTTCTGAATCTTTTATCTGCATCATATGGACATAGAAGGGTTGGAATACTTTCTCCTCATCACAAAGCTGTTAAGTCTTCAACATATCAAGTGGCAGTGGTCCCAAACTTCCAGCCGTCATCAGATCTCAGTTCTAAACACAATCATATGGTGATATTCAAACCATGTTGAATGAGACACAACAAGATGTTGAATCCTGCTTGGAATAGAGACCTTTGTGGGACTGGGAAAAACTAGGAATAGCTCAATGGGATATATTTGGAATTTAAATCAACTTTCCCTCCTAGAGTATTTTAAACAGCTATATTTCTCCAATGCCTAATCACAGCCCCCAGAATTAATGTTTGCATCGTTAAGGACGATTTTGTAACACTTTAATATGAAAAGTTGATGACATTGCCTGGCCTGACAAGAACAAAGTCATAATCCTTCATGACAGTCTGTAGAACTTTCAAATTATGTCTGATAACAAATAATAGTTTCAAATCAATGCTTCACAGCAAGTCTGACGAAAGCTCTCATCAGGATGACTGGATGTCTGCAAATTTTCGAAGGCCTTTCACAAGAGCTGAACTGAGCATGATTGGAAGTAACATGCTCATGGCAGCCCCTATTTGTGACCAGATTCTGTAATGCCAGTGGTCGAAGCATACACCACATTGACGCTGAATTGTGGTGCCCTATCAACAATGTTCCAAGATTATTATTTTTTTACTTGGTCATAATACAGAGCTATCGAAAATCCAAACAAGGTTTAAAAACAATTGTTGCGGGTGGTAGCGGTGTAGCAATACTGCACAAAAACAAAGTTAACATTTCTTATTTTCAACATGGTCATATGTAATTGTTTCACCATAATTAGATGCATTACCTCATCACTATTCATCTTTCACACAGCCACTGGAAACAGAAATGTAGTTCAATCCAACTGCAGATAACCAGGAGATCAGGATTATTTCACGCTATGGTCTTTACCTCTCTTGTCTTCATGGGAAATGCTGTCTTGCTTCAAGCAGATCAATACAGCTTTTGTCCACTGGGGGAGCATAAATCATTGTTTAATACTGCTTTAATGAAGTAACTTTAATGAATGTTCTTATTTCTAGTTTTTCATGGCTGTCAGGCCCGGAGTGGCTAATCGAGAGGACCTAAACAATTCCCAGACTTATTTTTGGGCTGCCAGGGCCACTGATTTGTAAAAAAAAAAAAAAAATGTTAAGCCGGTGTTCAGCTATGAGTGGATCAGTTTCTCTGTTACTGCCTCTCTGGGCTGCCTATGCTTACACTGCCAGCTTCTTTTTTTCTCTGCTCACCCTGATGTAGCCCACTGCACTCAGTCACTGGTGTCTGAAAGACGGAGAGTAAAAGGAGCATAGAGAAGGCCAGAATTGAAAAGGGGAAAGCTCTGGAAAATGGACTAGACCAGTGTTTTACTAAAAAGCGGCCAGTTTTTAGTAAAACACGCTCAAGGTTTGAAACGTGCAAAGTCATTGATAAAATGGGAAAGGCAAGATGTTGAACTTTGCCTGTAAACCACTGAACATGTCTTTTATCACGTCAATGCATTTTGTGATGTTGTGGCCCTTAATTTGATGGTATATAGTTTAAATATCATGGAAAGCCACATAAATGGGAATATTTGTTTTTTTTTTTCGCCCTTCAGAGTCAGAGGGACTATACAGCAGCAGCAAGTAGTTCATAATGCCTGAGTTGCCAGATAGGATTTCACATTAAGTCAATATTAAATTGATGTAATGAAGAGTATAGTGCAGTTCTGTATGCTCAGAAGTATGACCATTTTCTTCAAATGTTACTTATTGGTATTGCTCCTGTTGG